CTACATTCCTTCTTTCCTTTTTATTGTCTCCTTTATTTGTACCACCTGCCATCGTTACTGCCTTCCAACTGTGCTGCCTATATACCTTCCTTCTCTTACTTCCTTTCCGGCTTTCTTCATACCTACCAGTCTATTTTGCTTTTTTTTTCTCTTTTTTTTCCTGGCGGCGTGCCTTCCTTTTGTTTAATTCATTCCCTTAGCACTGGACCGGAGACTGACCCAGTTTCCATCGTGTCTGCGTGTAGATATATACGTTTATATGAGAGTTAGTGGGCCAGTGGTGCGTGTGTTGCGGGTGTGAGTTTACGTGTACATAAATGTGCGTGTGCGTATGTGTGCGTATTTACAAGCAGCCACGTCTGTTTCCACCTTTAACCCTTACCTCCACCTCCAATTTCAACACGGCTTTGTGCATCCACCAGGTTTATCTCCCCCTTCTCAACACATAATTTGTTTTGTTTTCTAAATGTTTCTATCATGTTGACGTTTTGCTACTCTAGAGATATGAGGCAGTGGTTGTTATTTGTGTTCTTGTTTATGTTATTGGAGATGATACTGATGGTTTTTATACTGTTGAAGATTTGACACTATGATATGAGTTTGGTTGTTGTTGTTGCGGTCCTATTCACGTTTCCCGGATTATCTACACACTTCCTCAGTCAGGTCTAGATCAGAATGGTGTCACGTTGTATTGTTTTCTTTGAAAAGAGTCTCTCGTGGGAGTAGGCTCAGGCTGTGGGTGGGAGGGGGCGTGGGGAGGGGGTGGGGTTAGGGCCAGTTCTACATGATCTGGGGTCCTTAAAATCTGTGTCGTCATGTACTACAGAACAAGTGAAATAGGCTCCGATGTAATTGGACGCAAGACAACGTGACACCCCTCTAACGTAGAACAGTCTGAGAAAGCAGGAATAAAAGGTCAGCCAATGTAGATGGGCAGGGAGACGTGAATAGGACCGTTGTTGGTTGTTATTGTTGTTGTTGTCGTACTTGTTGGTAATAGTGGTGTTGCTGCTGCAGTTGTTGCTCTGAAAACAACTAAATCGAATTGTTCTCTGCTGCACAACTCGACAAACTGAACTTTAAGGACTTTGTTTTCCTCTCCGATAGTCTCCAATACCCTCATTTTAAGCATTATAAAGAGCTCCCTAGGCGAGGAATCCATCATTACATTCTTCTTTTTTTGCGTTCACCCCTAGACTTTGGTCTTGTTCCACAACCTAAGTTTTGCGTGCACATCCCTTATAAAATCTAACTTATCTGTGTGCAGACTGTTGGTTCCTTGCCTCAGCCTCACAGTGTGTAAACTCAGCCCACTGTTGGCTTCACTCCGACTGTAGTTAATCTTCCTTTGGTTAACTAGCAGTCTGCCCTAGATCACCTATTATAGTCCTCACCCACATGGGACTGCCGGTTAGTGGCGTCGTTACGTGTGCCTTAATTATAACTCTGCTGGAGGCTGAACGCGGCGCCTGGGATCTGCCGTGTGGGTCTGGTGTCCAAAGATCTGCCATGTCGGTCTGGTATCCAGAGATCTGCCGTGTGGGTCTGGTGTCCATGGATCTGCCATGTCGGTCTGGTGTCCATGAATCTGCCGTGTCGGTCTGGTGTCCAGGGATCTGCCGTGTGGGTCTGGTATCCAGGGATCTGCCGTGTCGGTCTGGTGTCCAGGGATATGCCGTGTCGGTCTGGTGTCTAGGAATCTGCCGTGTCGGTCTGGTGTCCAGGGATCTGCCGTGTCGGTCTGGTGTCCAGATTTTGTTCTAAGTCTCAGAATGGCAAACCTTTAGGTAGCAGTCCGAAGGCAACACGCCGATCAATAGCTTGTGTGTGGAGGTGAGCTCAGTCCCTAACATATCACTCCCTAACATATAAGCCCCTAATACATCAGCCCCTTTGTGGTATCCGAAGGCCATTGGTGAGGAGTGCGGGTAATGCGGGGGGGGGGGGATATGTTGGAGGGGGTGGAAAGTGAGGGTAGAGTATGCAGCTAACTAGCAAGTCGTGAAGGGGAACCAGCTAGGAAGCCGCTGAACCCGTTGGGCTGAAAGGCGCAGATGACGCAGCCTAACTGTAAACCCATACCACTGCGTGAAAGCCGACCTCTTATGGACAAAAGCAGATGTAGAAGACTTTCTGCCTCCTGCGCCGTACAGACACCTACCCGATCTAATTTACAGGGTCCAGTGACCAGAGTTCTAGCATATGTGCAAAATGTGCCAGCTCTAGCAGTAAGTCCAAACAGGTCTATGGAAATTCTCGTTTTGTTAGGCCGGTCCACGGCTGGTCTGTGCTCACCACTGAGTAATTTTATACACAATTACAATTTCAGTTTAATTAACTTGCAACATATATTATTATTGTTATTATTTTATTTTAAAATGGCCCACTTATTTATCTTCATAATGATTTTTGATTCCCCAAAATATATGGACTGGCCCACGCCCTTCTGTATTTCAGAATCAAACAGTTAAAAGTAAAATGTGTTTACTTTTGCTAGAATAACTTCCATTTTATATCTACACGTTATTGATGTTTATATCCATGTTGACTGTAGCAAAAGCATTTTTGTTTGTCTGTCAGTCTTTTTTAAATTATACTTTGATAGCAAACTTGTTTACCTTTAAAATGACACATAATTATATAAACAAAAATGTCGCAAATTAATGAAACTGTAGTTTAATTAGTATATACATCTCCTCGATAAACACTGTGAACACAGAGGGACTCCTTACTTGCACAAGAACGGGAATCCCCATTGACCTAGTTGGCCTGTAAATAGAGTCGGCCGTGACTGGCCTAACAAAACGGGAATTTTCGTAGACCTGTTCGGCCTTACCACTGAAGCTTAACATGTGCAAAATACACATAGAAAATATAATTGTGGTATTTATCTGATTATACTAGGCATCCAAGCCAATGACTAGATCTGTGTGTTGCATCATAAATATTTCATGTAAAAATTCTTGTACAATAACAATTTTTTGTTTTTTAAATAAACATACGATCTGGGAGTTGGGGAGGGGGGGGGGGGTTGGGAAAGGGGGCCGCACATCCAACCATGCCTCCAAAACACGCTTTTATCTAAATTAGAAACGATGGTCTGTAAAATATAGAGGACAACTGCAAACACAGTCAAATCATATAGGAAGACAAAGAAGAATGACACGTATTTGACTAGATTTGGCGATTTGAATAAGCTAATAGCCAGTTTTTGTGGCATTTCCCGTCCATCCTGCAGTCATTTATAAATCGTGCATCCAAAAACCCCAGGAGATATGCTATGTGGCAACGTCGCCTTGTTGACAGGAAAAAATCAATAAGCGCTGCGTCCACTGGCTGTTGCGTTGTTTTGTTTTTTTTGAATGTGTTTATTGTCACCTGTTTGCTGTTTTGTTTGTATGTATGTGTGTGTGTGTGTGTGTGTGTGCATTTGTGTGTTTGTTTCGTGCTGTTGTTTGTGTGCCGTTGTGTGCTTGAACTGTTGTGTGCGCTTGCGCTATTATGTGTGTTTGTGTGCTGTTGACTGAGTGTTGTTGTGTGTTTTATGTTGTAGTTTGTGTGTGAGTGTGCGCATGTATGTATGTATGTGTGTGTGTGCGCATGTGTGTGTGTGTGTGTGTGTGTTTGTGTGTGTGTGTGTCTGTGTGTGTGTGTGTGTGTCTGTGTGTGTGTGTGTGTGTGTGTGTGTTCACTCAGGAACGAAGCAACTACCCGGTGACCTGTTTGCTGTGAAGTTGGAAAAGTGATTACCTGATACGAACAGCAATAACTATAAACGACAGATACAGCAAAAACACCACTTACACATAGCAAGCTCCCCACTCACACAAACACACGCACAAACTAAATACCAAAGTAAGGTGTGATAATAACACTTTACTTGAAAATGACACCATAACCGCTGCTACATAACAAATGTAAACTTTATTATCTTGCACATTTTCAGCAAAGTCGATGTTTCAATAATTCGATGATGATAACTGACTTATAAAAATCAATTAAAAATTGTAAAAAGCTTAAATAAAGAACAAAAACAAAAACACACACACAAAAAAAAAGAACTAGCTCTCCTTCCATTTGCTTACCATTCGAAGCATTGGATTTGAAGTCTAGAATTACAACGGGGACTTTGTACACTGGTTTACAAAAACGATTACAGTGCTAAACATGCTCATAAACTGTAAAATATGAGACGCAAGCGATGAAAAAACAATGGTTTAATTATGACAATTTAAAAATATGGAGAGCATAGATGCATTTCTTTTACTGTATATATTCCTATGTTGTATGTTGTTAATTATGTCGACCAATCTTTTCATATGTTGTATGTTGTTAATTATATCGACCAGTCTTTTCTTATGTTGTATGTTGTTAATTCCTTGCGTTGGTTTCGACGGTGGTATCAAGAAAGCCCACCGTCCAGAAAGCAATGGCAAACTACTGGACGTAAATTTTCTTAGAAAACTCTGAAACATTGTAGCTGTAATCAAGTACAATCAAAAATGAAAATATGAAATTCTATTCTAAAAGCCCAGACAACATTTCACAACTGAAGTTGGGAGGCTGATGTAGACAAGAGGTAATCATCGTCAAATGTGTCGGAGTTTGAAGGTTAAATAAAGTCCTATCAATCTGTATATTTTATATCTACGTTTTATGCTAAAGTTATATCAAAAATGCGAATGATCAAATGATTATAATCTTTCATTAGTAGTACGAAATGAAACAAAACAATTTTGAATTCAAATGGTCAAATGTACTCAACAACAATACCTCCAGTCGTGCGCTTGTTGCACTGTATGAAGAAATTAACTAAAGTAGATACATAGATATAAGAGGCAAGGGCAACAATTAATGTAGTCCTGCGTTGCAACCGAAAATGGCTTGCTGAAAAACTGAGCAGACGGTAATATACTGAGATATTATGAGTAGTAGAGTGTGCAAGAGAAGCAAGTTCAACATGCGTAGTGTTATTATCATACAAATTACGAGTCTGCTGTTTATATGAGAGCTTCATTCTGTGGAGAAGACACGTCTTCACTGGATCCGTTTGTCTGAGCGCTATCAGGTGAGTTGATAATGATCATTGGTTTGTTGGGGGAGGATGGAGATGATTGTTCATCGAGAGGAGGAAGGGAGGAAGGCACTTCGGAGGAGAAGGGGTTGGAAGGATTGACTTCAGACTTTGACTGGTCGTAAGGGTGTTGAGAGGGGGTATCGAAGGAAGAGGAGTTTGTTGGAGTTGGCGTTTCTTCATGAGCTGTGCCAAACTCCCCAAAGTCAATTAGATCTTCTGCTTTCCCGGAAGACTGGCTGACATCGGGGGTCGTTTGGGCAGGGGGTACTACACCAGAGCTCTGGTCTCCCGGAGAGGAGGCCAGGTCTGACAGACTAGCAACGTCTTGCCGAAACACTGCCCCGGGGTCGTAGCTGGACAGAGACTCGGAGACACTGCCGTGGGCTGAGGTGTCGGTCAGGTCAGAGACTGGGCTTCCTCGTTCGACCTGACTGGAGTCTGTTGTCGTTTCTTCCTCGTCGTTATCGGGGCTGGAGGGAGAGCTGACTCCGACATCGTTACTGATGACGTCAGACGCGATGATTGTTCCAGTTCCATTCTCTGCGACGATTTTGATGGCGTCCTGCACAGCTTTGGCCGTGACTTCCATGGCAACGCGCTGTATGGACTCGTCGTCATCCTCGACGTTATTATTGATAATATTGTTGTTATTGTTATTACTTTCGTTGAGGGAGTAGTCAGCAGGTGCGGATGGAGGGATCAGAAGTTCCTCGGCCTCCACCAGGTCGCTCTGAGAAATGCTGCTGCTAGAACTGTCCCCCGGGGGAGACAGGTCCGACTCGTGAGGTGGAGGAGGTGAGATATCTTGTGCGGAGGACAAGGATGATGACGACCTTTCGGACATCTGAGGCGATACAAACATCACTCCGCGTTTCTTTGGGGCTAAAGTTTCCTCTCCTCGCTCCACACAGGGATCGCTTGGCGAAGAGCTCTCGCTAACAGGCTCCTTCTGCTCCAGCGAATCAGTTACCAGGGATGTTGCCTTCTCAATTATAGACTCGACGAACTCTCTCGCGGTTGCCTCTTGACTTGCACCCTCCACACCATGCGCCAGATCACTATCATGTGTGTTGCTACCGTCATTGTCCTCGATTATGCTCACACTGGGGATAGGAATTCTGTTTCCATCTAACGAGTTTCTGTGCGCCTCCAGGAGAGTCCTGGCTTTGTCCAGAAAGCTTTCGTCTGAACCCAGATCACCTGCTGCCTGAGGGACAGAATCAGTTTTTTCCAAATCTTCTAAATTCTCTACAACTTCTTCCCGCACTTCTTGCTCACCTGAGAGGGCGTCTTTAGCAGCTGCTTGAATATCAGTAAATATGTCAGAGCTTCCCTGCTGACTGAACCGATTCTGTGAAGAAGCTGAGGCATCTACAGAACTCTCTGAAACTACTTCTGCATCTGCTAAATCCTTAGAAAGACGATCAGACCCTACCACTTCAGTTATGCTTCGTCTGACACTGTCAGCTTCAGCAGCTGTTGTGTCCTGAACTGAACTGACCACCCCTGCTGTTTGATTGCTGAGCTCCTGAAGCTTCTGACTGCTGGCCGTAGTGATGTCTTGGACGTACTCCCTGACCTGGTCCATACTTTGTCCAAACGAATTTCGCACGTTGACAACAGCGTCTTCGCCGCTTTTTGTTGTGTCATCCGCGGACTGCTCAAACTGCTCTACTCCTTGAACGGATTCTTGCTGGAAGTTGTCTAGTGTGTTGGTGAATGACTCACTAATGCTCCCTTTCACATCTTCAACGGACTGACCAACCACATCAGCTTCAGCTTGAACATACTGTTGAATGTCTGTCAGGGTGGAACTTGCACTAGCAGTTTCTTCGATTGCTTGTGCTGAGTCCTTATTAATTTCGGACCCTGTCTGACCTGTGGAACTAATGCTTCCAGTCAGCCCACTGAAGCTCTTTTGGGCCGATTCACCCCATGACGCGAAGGCTTCTGAAGCGGACAATCTGGCAGACTCCAGGACTTCATTAGCTTTATTCTCAGCAGTGTTTTCCACATTTTCTGCCAGAGATCTGGCAGCTGTTTGAGCTTCATCTACATTCCTTCCAAATTCTTCCTTCACGTTTCCAAAGAATCCGGTGGCAGCTGGTGGTACTGCTGCTTCTTCAGTAGCTACTTCTACCTGTGAATTCAGATTCTCTGCCTCAGTTGCAACAGACGCCGTCTCTGACCGAAGAGTGTCAACGTTCCTACTCAAAGATTCTGCCTCAGTTTGGACACTGCTAGCTGCAGAGTCAACAGTTGAGGTAGCCTGTTGGGCTATATTAGCAGCAGAGAGTTCAGCACTGCTCCTCACACTACCAGCCTCATTACCTAATGTTTGAGCTTCATTCTCAGCACTTGCAGCAACGCTAGCAACACCAGAACTCAGACTGCCGGTAACATTTCCAACCACTCCTTCCAGTTTCCCGGTAGCACTCTGATACACTTCAGTAGCCTGTGTTTTGACCTCGTCGATGCCTCGAGTAACTGATTCTTGTACCGCTGTTTGAACGCTCGCTCCAGCCTCAGTAACTGCAGCTCTGGCGCTAGTCTGGACCTCTTCAACAACCTGTCCTGTTGCATCCTTGCCCGCTTGAAAAGCATTCGCTGTTGCCCTCTGGCCCTCCTCTTCAACATTTCTACTCACCTCACTGAACGCTGACTCCCCAGACTTTACAGCTCCGCCAAGAAACCCCCCAAATCCTCCTTCTCCTGTCGCAGCTTCACCTCCCCCATCACCTTCAACAGACAACTGAACGCCATCAGGTCCGACAGCAACCTGGCCTTCCCCGCCAGGCAACAGTGCCTCTCCCTCCCCTTCTCTTGGCTTATCCAGAACTCTGTTCTCATCCTTCTTATCTGCTCTCTCAGTTCCAGAAGAACACAGATTACCCATACTGCTCTTGTCCTCAAGCTATCCCACTGATCTCTTCCTTGATCTGATCCCTTTTTTTCCGATCTTCTTTCTTTCTTTATAAACCCGTGGCTACTTGACCACTGAACTGACCTCAGGTCAAATATAATTACAACAGCCTGCCTTTCCCTAGATTACCTGCTATAATTATCAACACGATATTAATTGCGACTGTTTAAATTAATCAAGATGTAACGTTGCAAACGTTAACTTCAAACCATGTCACACATACGTCAACTGCTTTACTTGCAACCACACAACCAACAGTAGCTTCTCCGCTTACAGCTAGACAAAGTTAACCCTTCTGCTGCAGCCACACAGTGTTAACCCTTTTACTTAAAACCACAGTGTTAACAGCAGACAGAAAGTTATAGACGTTGAACTTGTACAAACACAGAATGATTAGCAATTACTCAGCAAAACACACGTTCTTGGTCACACAGAAGTTGCCCACAAACTCAGCGGTGTTGACGTTATTTCAAGTACTGGATCGCTGATCTTATGAGGTAGTCTCTAGACCTGAACACTTCCTAACAAACTCAGTAAAGTATGTATTCCTTGGGATAGCTTGTCTGAACAGTTGACAGCAGCCAGTAGATGGCCAGTTATTCAAAACATACTCTGGAGTATGGGTAAATGATTCACCAATTGACGAGTTACTTGGAGTACACACACTGGATGTTGTTGGTAAAACATTACCAAGTGGATTGTTTCTGTAATGAACCGGGTCGTTGACAAAACTGTATTTCAAGACCTCTTTTTGGACTTCTCTCGGGATTGCTGGATGAAAAGTAACACATTCGCTAATCCAAAAGTAATGTCAAAACAAGCTAAAAACAGTATGCTTGTGAAGAACGATTAAAGTGTAATCCAACTGTTTGTTAACTCGATGCAGCTTTATTCCCGCGTGGGCTTGTTAGACATGCTTAACTGTCACAGGTTATAATTCTCATGTCATAAGTTCGTTGTCTAGTAGTGCTACAGTGTCACATATGCTAAAATTGAGTCACAATTTTAACGATTCCTAAAATGGAGCATCTGTAAGAATAATCAGATAAATTAAATAATGAAATAACATCTACCGACCTAGTGAATACGAGAACGCTTAATAATACTGTCATAAATATAGTTTGCTTACACACGGACGTTATTGCACAGCAAACTCCAGCAACAACTTTTGAAACCATCGAAGCAACATGTAAGTAAACATAAACTACCGGTTTTATACGGCACTGGCAAATCGAGTATATAACGCTAGACCTTATATTTATAGACCTATCGACACCCGATGATGAACTTGGTCAACATTATGCCGGCAGTCTTTACTTCCCAGGACGTCAGCTGGTATTCATTTTATGCTAGGGAAAATTGAGGGCCACTAACGGTATGGAACCAAAGTTCAATGTATTCGAAAATCAATGCATAGTTAAAAATTGTGAACAGAAAATAGATTGAATTCACGGGGAGTGAAATAAATAAGAGAAATGTCGGTCTGTAAACAGCAACGGCTGAAACAACAGTTATACAACAGAGAAGATGGACATATTCTGGGTAAATGCGAACAGACCAGCACTGAAATGTGAAATGGTGGGACTGAAGAAACAAGTACATTAAAAAGAAACCCTACAGGTGAATGTTGGTGAGAGAAGCCAAAGGTTCTGGACTGGATTTCATCCACGATATCCAATTGATTGTACAGGATAGGGTGGAAAGGAGAAACAGAGCCATACATGAAATATAATATTCAGGGACAATGAATGAATTAATAAATGAATGAATTAAAAATGAATGAATGAATGAAAGAACGAATGAGTGAGTGAGTGAGTGAGTGAGTGAGTGAGTGAGTGAGTGAGTGAGTGAGTGAGTGAATAAATGAATGAGTGAGTGAGTGAGTGAGTGAGTGAGTGAGTGAGTGAGTGAGTGAGTGAGTGAGTGAGTGAGTGAGTGAGTGAGTGAGTGAGTGAGTGAGTGAGTGAGTGAGTGAGTGAGTGAGTGAGTGAGTGAGTGAGTGAGTGAGTGAGTGAGTGAGTGAGTGAGTGAGTGAGTGAGTGAGTGAGTGAGTGAGTGAGTGAGTGAGTGAGTGAGTGAGTGGCAAAGTACAGCGGCAGTAGACTATTATATAAAAAGTTCCCCGTGTGGAACTCCATGTACTATAAGGACAACAGAACACGCCGACTGCTCGTTAACAAGTGTGTGGTAACGGCAGGTAATTAAGGTTATACTGAAACCTTTAACATCTCACAAATAATTTCAGTGACCATTGTCCCGCCACCAGCCCATCAGACATATGATGCTAAACCCACAGTTGACAGACACTGGATGGCTGATGTGATCAGTACCACGCCACAAACTGGATACTATGGAAAGACAGTAGCAAATATCAAGCCCAGCTGTGAACCACAACACAAGGCGCCAAACGCCCTTTCAAATGCAAGAAAAATAAAAACAAGAGAAGAATATGAAGAATGAAAAATTGAAGAGCACTGAAGTAAATACATTAATGTTTGCCCAGAAATAATATGCAAACCTGATCAAAATCAAAACTGGTCAGGGGAGTTGAATTTTTCAAAGCTCTCTCAAAACCTGACAACCCATAATAACAACAACCAGATCAATAGCATATATCTTGCTTTGTCAAGGCAAGCAGATTCCTCGTTGACGACTAGAACAACTAGCAGTCAGATAACTAGCCCCTTGAAGTTTGAACGCACGATATGATTATTAACAGTACATGATTGGACTGTCTCTGTCTACAGCCGATTTTCGTAAGTCAATAAAACATGTGCTGAAGTGGCATTTAGAGAGTTATTATCTGTGCAGAAGTGGCATTTAGCAAATCTAGTAAACATAAGTGCTGAGGTGGCATTTTGTGAAGGTGGACGACATACTAGCACAGAACCAATACTGAACGTTATATAGACAATAAATCACATGGTTTGGCCATTAAACATCATTGGCGTCAGACAGGGCACCACAGAGAGCAATGTTTTACTTTGCAGATGCTGCGGTAATAGTCCAAAGGTCGACTGCGCAAAACAATGGACCGCAGAAATATCAGAGACACTGAAAAGTACTCTCTACGCAGCGAACAAAAGAGCCCGTCCCAGAGATCCCTTGCTGCCCTGAAGCGGCGAGCTTTTCCAGGAGTAGAGAAGAGATGACACCTGTTCTAGGTTTGCGCTTGGTGAATGTAACAAACACATGTCATCGTGTGGCATTAAAGTTTGTTTTAGATATCTGTTCTGGAGGGGCATTTATGTTATGCCCGGCGCACTAGCTAAACTGGTTAGACCAGCTGCGCGGCAACCGAGGACAATCTCCTTGTGGTCAGAGTTCACGCTCGAGGGTTGACAGAAAAGCCACATATTTCCCAGATTCACGGTATCTATCATGGGATCAAAGCCGAAGGGTTGCGATATCCATAGTACAGAACCAAAGGGTTTCCAACTCATGGTCTCTGGATGAAAAAAACATTATATAATATCTAAGCCAACAAGACACGAATAGATAGATTGATCATTACGGTGTAATGAGAATGATACAGCTAGGAATGTCGAGGGCATATGATCAACACAACACTCTTAGACACAAGGCAAGACGGACATACAATCAAACTAGAACAACATCGGAATTAGAAAACTTCACTGGCTGCTGAATATACATTGCTGTCAGTCTCTAGCTCATCACTCGTTGGCATTTAGTGTATGTTGTAGATAGTCGTTCCGAAGTGGCATTTAGTGTGTGTAGTAGATATTCGTTCTGAAGTGGCATTTAGTGTGTATTGTAGATATTCGCTCCGAAGTGGCATTTAGTGTCTGTTGTAGATATTCGTTTCGAAGTGGCATTTAGTGTCTGTTGTCGATATTAGTTCTGAAGTGGCATTCAGTGTGTGTTGTTGATATTCGTTCTAAAGTTGCATTTAGTGTGTATTGTAGATATTCGTTCTGAAGTGGCATGTAGTGATGTGTAGTAGATATTCTTTCTAAAGTGGCAATTGGTGTGTATAGTAAATATTCGTTCCAGTGGCATTATTTGAGGGGCGATTGTGGGGGGGGGGGGGGGGGGGGGGGTAAACCTGTTGTGAAGTGTTATTTTTTTAAATTTAGTAAGCAATGGTGCTCAGTAAAGGTTAGAATACTATTTCTTCCTGTGTGAAAATTTTTTCAACTGCCTAATTCCGCTTGAGGCGTGGGAAAGAGTTATCTACCTCTGTTTTATCTGTCTGTCTATTCGACAACTGCTTTCCCCACACCCCCCCCCCCCCCACATGAAACACAATCGTGCAACTGTCTGTGATGTGGTAGCGTGCACGTCTCCGTCCGTCCGTCTGTCTGTCCCCTCCGCGCTCTACTTTAAAGTCTGACCAGCCTGAGATTTCGAAATCTCTACCTGGATGGCAAGTCAAGGACCCTTTTCCCACGCCTTCAGGTAAACTGGGCATATAAGAGCACTCGGCACTCAGTGGGTAAAGTGGTCAGCATCACGCCGGCCTCCTTTACTTCCCTTTAGATGGCACAATTTTAGGCCATGTCGACCTGGGATTCAAGGTGATTTTTGAAGAAAGTCCAGCACCGTGGGGATTTGAGCCCATGACCTTCGGATCGCACCAGCGTCTAGCTGCTACACCACGACAGCTCCCCTGGATGGCAAGCCACCAGTGTAAATCCCAGCTACCCCGTTTAAACTCCAAATAGGTTATAATTACGGCCCCTATAACGGTGACACGAGCCTGGAACAACCTTTAGTCCAATGCCGGTGAGAAAGAACACTGCGCGTCTATCAGTCCCCTGTCTGCTATCAGACTGCAGCCCTCCCCACCAATTCCCCATACCAAACGACGTAGATAACACTAAATCGCAATCCTAGAGCCGATGACAATCAGTAAAATAACGCACCTACAATCAGAACAGAGAACCGGGAGGCAGATAAGAGCAGTCAGGGGATGAACCGGCCAAGGGTCAGACCTCTACATCCCTGACTAA